TTTTCAGAGAAACAAGTGAAAGATTTAAAACTAAACCCGGATGAAACAAGAGCCCTTAAATCTTCACACTTTTGGCTCAAAGAACCCAACAACCCCCAGATGCAATTTTCATAAAACCCAAAACCCGAAAATGTAAAAAACAAAAACAGAAATTTGAAATAGAAGCGTCCAAACACCACAGCTTTGTACTGCAACATGAAAGGGTTCCCCTGACACATTCAGCATCAGCTGGGGGAAAAAGGGGCTACCAGTAGCAATTCTCTACGGGAGACAAGGGCCAGCTGGAACTTTTTTTTACTTTTGGGGCCGATTACTACTTTGGGAAAATAAAACAAGGCAAAAATGAAAAAACCCCCCAGATGCTTTAGGGGGCCCGTTGAAACAAAATTTGGGGTTTGGGAGTGCAAGACCAGTAAAAGATTCCCAGTATGAATGAAGCAACATGTCCACATCGGAGTCAGTGAAAAAACCCCGTGGAAAATTTCTAACCAGTTTAGACATTCTGGGAAAAAGAGTCACTGGGCATTTCTACCAAAGGAGGGGAAAAAATCGGAAAGACAAAAAAGCCATTGAAAACTTCGACAGGTCAAACAAATTCAAATTTAAAGGCAGTTTTGAAGTGGCATTGCCATGGGGGACAAGACACGCTTTTAAAATTTTTCTGATAACAAAGGGGTTTTCACAAAAAGATTTGAAATCTGAAAAGAAAACGAATTCTATGTGTCCTGTAAAAAAAATACTAAATGGGAATAGAGGAATTAAAACCAAGCCGGGAAAATTTTTGAGGAAGTACCCCGATACAGTCATTTCAGGGGCTGCGATGTGACTTTCCTTACTTACCTCATCCGCAGTGACAGAGAGGACAAGGTAACTAACAAGCTGAGAAAAAGTGTTTTATGCTTTATCACATGAAAAGGGGTTTCTCCCCTTTGAATGACTGTTTGTTTTCCCGGCCCAAACTTTAAATTTTGGACCCAATGAGCATTTTGATCAATTTTTGTCCCAAAATCCTTTAGCCTTCCCCAGCGGACATCACAAAGGGGGTTCCTGCAAAATTTCAAACACTGGAAAAGGGGAAAAGAACGCTCTGAGGTTTTTTTGGCTCACAGGGCCCCCAAGCAGAGAGCAACAAGCAAAATGGGATAATGAAATGACACCTTGGGTTTTGTTTGGGAGTAACTTTTAATTTCCCTTTTCCCACTTGCGCCAAAAAAATCAGACATCATTTAGAAAAAATCCCAAAAATCCTACCAAAACAGTAAAAAAAGAAAGAGAGTTCGCTCTATGTGGATGATCTGATTGCTAGTTCCAAAAAAACTCCCGACGAGGCCTACACACTTACCGCCGGACAAAGGAAAAAATCTCTGCAAACATGAACCCGTGTAAGTGGGCAACAACTCACAGGGAAATAAAAACTAAGTGGTCAAAATGTTCCCCTTTTACATGGAAAAAAAGAAACGGGGACCACGGGAAAATTTCTGAAGGTACTTTGGTTTTGTGTGGAGAAACCCGGGAAACCGACAACTTTAAAATTTGACCTTAACCACTTGATGAACATTCTTTTCAAGGAAAAGAGAATACAAAAAGGAGTGTTTTAAGGGCATCTGCCAGAATATTTGATCCCAAAAGGGTTTCTAACGGGCCCTTTACCCGTCCGTGTTTAAATGTCTGTTTTTAGGAAATTGGCGTCGGGGGCTAAACTGGGGTGAGACGGGCCTTTCCCCACCTTTCCAACCCATGGCAGCAGTAGGGGCCTTGGAGCTCACACAGGGAAAACCCCAAAAGTCCCCTTTTCCAAGGTGGTATGGAACAAAAGGTGCCAAGGGAAAACAAAAACTTCTCCATGGTTTTTTTACAACGCCAGTGGGAAAAGGGGTTATGGGCACTGCATAATTTTCAAGGAAAAAAAGCCGAAGGGAAAAAAGGAACTGCACTCGTGGCTTTTTAAAACCCAAAGTGGGGCCCCCAATCAAAACAATGACACTTTCCCCCCTTGGAGCAATGGGAGCTTTAAAATTGGGGCAAGGGTTTCCCAAAAAACCTGTTAAAGGGACGGATATGCCCAAAACAACCCGCTGCCCAAAAGTGGGCGACTCCCTGATAGTAAAACCCCCTGGGTTTAAAGTTCACCCCAAAAAAATGGGAAAACCCTTTTTTGCTAAAACCCAGTATGGAGATACAGACTTTGACCCCCTCCTGAAGTAGGGAAAAACCCCGTAATGGGGAAAAAGAACCCAGCTGATCTCACCCCCAAGAGGAAAAATCTGCAACAAGGTTAAAGAAGGGGGCTTTGGGGGCAAAACCCACTATTTTGAGAGACAAGATACTTTGGGAAAACCACCTTCAGAGGCAACACCCAAAAATGGGTTTTCAGAGGAAAGGTCAAAGCGAGCTCATGGCAAGTCAAGTCATCGTACAGTTCAGTAAAAAAACCCATAGGCCGCAGACTGAGCCATTGTTTCAAATTGGAAAAAATTTCAGCAAGCACAAAGGACTTTAGTTACAGCATGGGTTAAACAGGTTTTTTTTCACAACTGTCCCATCAAAAACAAAGGAAGGTTTGGGGGGAAAAAAACAGCAGAGGGAAAAGTCAGAAGCTTAAAAAGGAAATTTTATTTTCAGCTAAATCCCCCAACAAAATTTTGAAAGGGAAAAAAAAAGAGCTAAAAGCTGGAAAAAGGGTGTGCACAAAATTCTAAGATTAGAGACTTTAAAAAACCCTTTCCCCGAAAGAAAATTTGGTTTTAAAACTGTGTAGAGGAAGGGTAAAATCAAATCCCGATTTGAGTTTTACTTTAGGGAGCAGCACCCGTGGTTGTTACCCTCAAGTCACAGATTTTGCCAACTTCTGATCAAGTACAGTCACACGGATGTAATGCATTCAGGCGTGAGAGACACTCTTGTTCATTTAAGAGAAAAATATTGGATCCTACGCGCCAGACAGTTAGTCAAAAAATGCATTTCAGACTGTACCATCTGCAAAAGATTGAATGTGAAGGCAATGAAACAAACAACTGCACCACTACCCAGAGACAGAATTACAGAAGCGCCACCATTTGAAATAACTGGTGTAGATTTCGCAGGTCCACTGTATGTGAAGTCCAAGGGTAACACAGAAAAGGCGTATGTGGCACTTTTCACATGTGCCGTGACACGTACAGTGCATCTTGAACTAGTATCAAGCCTAACAACAGAAGGTTTCCTCTTAGCACTGAAAAGGTTTGTTTCACGGAGAGGACTCTGCAGAATAATCTACTCGGACAATGCTCAAACATTCAAGAAAGCAGAACAAGAACTAAAGGAGCTGTGGAAGGCAACAAAAGAGCCAGAGCTGTTGGAATATGCTTCTGAAAAGGGAATTAAGTGGAAATTCATTGCAGAGAGAGCAGCTTGGTGGGGTGGATTTTGGGAACGATTAGTGCGCTCTGTGAAGGGATGCCTCAAAAGAGTAATGGGAAGAGCATCTCTAAGGTTTGAAGAGTTAACATCTTTACTGTCAGAAATCGAAGCCACTATCAACTCAAGACCACTCACCTTTGTGTATAATGATTTAAAGGAACCTGAACCTCTGTCTCCAGCGCATTTTTTGATTGGAAAGAGACTCAGTTCTTTACCTCCAAAGCCTTTCTGCACAACAGGTCAGATAACAAATGCAAACCAAGAGCAGCTGACCAGAAGATGGTTCGCAGACCCCTCGGCGTAAGAAACTGCGTCGCCTTAAATCAGCTCTGTGCCGTCTAGAGACCCCTGGGTCAGCTCTGAGCCGTCTAGAGACCCCTGAGTCAGCTCTGAGCCATCTAGAAACCCCTGAGCCTGCCCTGTGCCGTCCAGAGACCCCTGAGCCTGCCCTGTGCCGTCCAGAGACCCCTGAGCTTAAACTTAAGAGGGCTTCAGAATGTGGTGTTGGTGAAGATATGCCTCCAAGAGCCCCTCAGCAGAGGCCACAAACCGCCAAGAGCCCTCTACAGATGCTTCAAGCCACGTCAGAGACTGAACATGTGCCTCCTTGGGTGGTCTCCCCTGTTCCTGAGATGGAACCACAGTCGGTAAGTGTTACAGCCAATCACCGAAACTTGGCACCGAAAGACGAGGCATGTTTCGATACTCTGTAGAACCGAAGCATTTCGGTCGGTACCATAAAAGCACCGAAGTTCGGTACGCAGCCCTCTATGGGCCTTATAGTCGTGAAAATACGGTAGTTATTTAATATCGGTTCTCTAAATGGAAATCAAGGCTAGATCCCACAGGATGTTTTAACCATTCAGTAAAACATCAATAATTAAATTGTTTGGAAAACTAAGATTAGGTTTTTGTACTGGGAAAATAAAAGAAAAGCATGTTCTGTTCAGACATAATCTAAAGCTTTAAAGATTAAAGTGGAGGCCCAAACCTCTGACTGAGATGTCAGAGCTGCAGTGCATGCTGGGAGATGTAGTTCTAGTCTCTTTGTATGTAGTTAGATTGACACAAGGATGATTAAAGTGAAGTGTCTTTTATTTAACCACCAACAGAAAGTGTTTTTGCTGTGTTTGTCTTTCCAGACTGCCTGCCTGATTATGTTGGAAAAGAGGTTTTCTCTGACCAGCAGCTCTGTGGACAGGGGAGGAATTCCAGTTTGGACCAAGAGGAATCTGAACATCCACAGATAAAAGAAGAGCAGCAAGAACCAGAACATCCCTGGACAAAAGAGGAAACCATGGAGCTCCCCATAAGTGAACAGAAAGAGCAGCTTGTTCTAAGGCAGGAAGCTGAACATACAGGAGAGAAACCTTTACTATGTTTAACATGTGGAGAAAACTTTCTAAAAAAAGAGCATTTAATGGCTCACATGAGTCTGAAGTGTTATCAGTGTAAGATCTGTAGAAAAAGCTTTATTAAGAAATCTAAACTTGATAGACACACAAGAATTCACACTGGTGAGAAGCCTTTTACCTGTAACATTTGTAACAAGAACTTTACTGAAAGAAGCAGTTTGACTACTCACACCAGAATTCACACAGGTGAGAAGCCTTTTGAATGTCTTTCCTGTGGAAAAAGCTTCACTCAGAAATCTAGTTTTGACAGGCACATGAGAATTCACACTGGTGAGAAGCCTTTTTTATGTCTGTACTGTGGAAAACGCTTCACCTCTAAGACTGTTCTTAATACTCACATCAGAATTCACACTGGTGAGAAGTCTTTTACCTGTAACATTTGTAACAAGAACTTTACTGAAAGAAGCAGTTTGACTACTCACACCAGAATTCACACAGGTGAGAAGCCTTTTGAATGTCTTTCCTGTGGAAAAAGCTTCACTCAGAAATCTAGTTTTGACAGGCACATGAGAATTCACACTGGTGAGAAGCCTTTTTTATGTCTGTCCTGTGGAAAACGCTTCTCTCAGAAATCTAATTTTGACATACACATGAGAATTCACACTGGTGAGAAGCCTTTTGAATGTCTTTCCTGTGGAAGATGCTTCACTCGGAAATCTCATTTTGAGATACACATGAGAATTCACACGGATGAGAAACCTTTTTCCTGTACCATTTGTAACAAGAATTTTACTGCCAAGAGTCAATTGACTACACACATGAGAATTCACACAGGTGAGAAGCCTTTTGAATGTCTTTTCTGTGGAAGATGCTTCACTCAGAAATCTCATTTTGAGATACACATGAGAATTCACACAGGTGAGAAGCCTTTTGAATGTCTTTTCTGTGGAAGATGCTTCACTCAGAAATCTCATTTTGAGATACACATGAGAATTCATACAGGTGAGAAGCCTTTTTCTTGCACGATTTGTGAATCAAGAACAAACAGAAAAGCTGTTTACATTCATAATTTCTTGCTTTTTCTGTGATAAAGGGAATAAACTTGATAAAGTGCAAAACAACATCTTGGTTGCAGATGAAGCGAGTTTTCTGTCAGTACAATAAGCAAATGAGAAGTTCTAGATGTTTAAATTGAAAAAAATCCGGAGAGACCCCCACTGTGTGATTTTTGGTATGGTGTGGCACAACTATTTTCTGGATGAATTTATTCAGAAAAAAAAAAGTTTTATTTTTGAGACGTAGCAAACTGTTACCTGATTGTTAAGCTGTGGTTGAATATATTCCAGAAACAGACTTTTATTCTGATGAAAATATCCTCAGATGAAAATAAAAGCAAAGCTAGGACAGATTTAATGAGCTTTGCTCAGTGTTGCTGATGTTTTTGGAGGATTTTCTAAGAGATCAGCTGCAAATGATCAGAGTTTAGCTAATTCAGTGTCTTGTTGGCTTTCATTAGCAATGCATCAATCAGCCCTGCTACGTGTGTTGTTGAAACCAGGCCCACCAAAACTCCAACTGTTTTTGGCCCAGTGTTAGAGCTATGGTCAATGGATATTAGAATGAAGTAGATCATCTATAGAGGAGTCTCACATGAAGATTTGGGACATATATAAGTGTGTGTCAGTCTCAGAGTTAGTCAGCTACAAGCTAATTAATGTTGCAAAGTAGCTCCAGCCACCTTGAAAGGGGGTGCTGGGATTATGGGGTTAAACTACGGGACATCAAAGAACTCAGTTTAGAGGCTGGAGTCTGTAGTTCAGGTAAATTGAAGTCCTAAAATGATGAAACATGTTTGTTTAAAAAGATAAACAGGATTGATGATGTTGATGTTATTTTTACTGATCAGTTTGAACCTGCTTTAACTTGGTAAAAAGCCTTTGTCTTAATAATGTATTAAAGAAATCTGACTCTCCTCTAGAAGTGTAAAGTTTCTGCTTTTTAAAAATTTTTTTGAAAGTATAATTTTCCTTTGAACTAATTCTAATAGTTTTGTTCTTGATTCTGTAGATGTTCTATTTACCTGCTATGATTGAAAGTAACTATCACCTATTTCATACAACTGATTTTATGGATTATATTCTGCTGTGGATGTTTTTAATTATTGTAATCACTTCTAAATTGATGAACGAGCAGCAATAAAACCTCTTGGATTGTAAAAATGTGCTTCTTTATGGTTTCATATAAATAAGGAACAATATTTTCCATGTTTTCTCTGATATTTCCAGCCAAACTAAAGCTAAAATAAACAATTTAATGTCATTCACCTTCTGTCTTCTCCAGTCTTTCCTGTTGCTCCTCCATCAGCATTAATCTTTTTTGCTTTTTAGAGCCTGAGTGTGTTCAAATCTGGCCATTGAATAAATCCTCCTTTACTTTTTTTCTCCAGAGTTTCATCTTTAATGGTTTAAACCTGAATGATGGAACTGAATCCCATTGATCCTCATTCACTCAGTAACACACCTAGAAATGATGGAAACAGCCTCAGGTGGATGGAAACTGGAAATGTTCCTCTGTTTAGGTCTGGAGATGATGGTCTGTCTGTTTGCTGAGGAGCATAAAATCTCTGCATCTTCTCAAAGGGACACTTTCAGTCTGACTGAATAAAAGGAGGAAAATCAGCAATTCATTCTAAACAAGTCAGATTCAATTCAGTTTATTTCTATAGCGCCAAATTCACAACACATGTCATCTCAAGGCACTTTACAGTTCAAGCAGATCATACAGTCAAATTGATACAAAGTTTTCTATCTAAGGAAAACCAGTTGATTGCATTGACTCATTGACTCAAATACAATCCCCCACACTAAGCATGCTTGTAGCGACAGTGGAGAGGAAAAACTCCCTTTTAACAGGAAGAAACCTCCAGCAGAACCAGACTCAGTGTGAGCGGCCATCTGCCGAGGCCGACTGGGGTTCAAGGAGACAGAAGCAGAGATACAAAAAGCAGCTGTAAAAGGCGGCCCCGTCCAGGAAACACACAGCCAGGCAGACGAGCTCCAAGGCAGCTCCCATGCCAGAGGACGAAGAGAGCACATCCACTCAGTCACGGTCAGAGAAACAGGACCACACTGGAAAACAGGCCGATCTCCAACATCTATAAACAAGGGTGTTGATAGAAGCAGCACAGCTGATATTTCTTTCCAGGATGACGTCACAGCCAAACAGGAACAGACGAGGCAAAGCTACTCTGAGGAAAAGCAGAGAGAGCAGAAGGTTAGAGATTGAACTAACAGATTCTGCAGAATAGGAGAACAGAGAGAGAATGAAGCAGAATGATGAAATGGGGGTCCCTATGTCCTCCAGAAGTCTAAGCCTATAGCAGCATAACTATAGAGATAGCTCAGGATAACCTGAGCCACCCTAACTATAAGCTTTATCAAAAAGGAAAGTTTTAAGCCTAGCCTTAAAAGTAGACAGGGTGTCTGCCTCACGGACTAAAACTGGTAGTTGGTTCCACAGGAGAGGAGCCTGATAACTAAAAGATCTGCCTCCCATTCTATTTTTAGAAATTCTAGGAACCACTAGTAAACCTGCAGATTGAGAGTGAAGTGCTCTGTTAGGAACATAAGGAACAATCAGATCTCTGATATAAGATGGAGCTTGGCCATTTAAGGCTTTATATGTGAGAAGGAGGATTTTAAATTCTATTCTTGATTTAACAGGAAGCCAATGAAGAGAAGCCAGGATAGGAGAGATATGATCTCTCTTTTTAATTTTCATCAGAACTCTGGCTGCAGCATTTTGGATCAGCTGAAGGCTTTTAACTACAGTTTGTGGACTTCCTGATAGTAAAGCATTACAATAGTCCAGCCTTGAAGTAACAAATGCATGGACTAGTTTCTCAGCATCACCCCTGGACAGGATATTTCTAATTTTTGCAATGTTCCTCAGATGAAAGAAGGAAATTCTAGAAACCTCTTTGATATGGGATTTAAATGACAGGTCCTGATCAAAAATAACACCAAGATTTTTTACTTTATTATCTGAAATCAGTTTAATCCCATCCAAATGAAGTGACTGGCCAATCAGTTTCTTTTTCAGAGACTCTGGTCCAAAGACTATAACTTCTGTTTTGTCTGCATTCAGAAGCAGAAAGTTAAGAGTCATCCAGGTTTTTATGTCTTCAAGACAGATGGAAAGAATAATCAGGCAGATCCAGGATTTTTCAAAGGGGTGCGCAGCTTAGGGTGATGTCAAGACAACGTGAAACTAAATGACCAAAAAATGCCTTCTTTATTCTTTATGGGGACACGACTACATGTGGGGTGGCATTTTATTTCATGAAGAGGTGTTTTTCTAAAGTAATCTGATCTTAATGCTACATGGATCTAAAATGGCGGCCCAGCATCATCACAGAGAACTATGTGTTTTCACCCCCTGATTCTTACTTTCCATGGCTGAAAAATGACCTTTGGTGGATCAATACGGCACATGAGTTTATTTTATGGGAAATACAACTGGATATTACTTTTCTGTGGAGTCCTAAGTACAAAATCAGAATGTTTTTACCATGATCGGTCAACATCTGGCCAGCAGAAGAGTTTAAACAAGATAAGAGCTGGAAGTTATGAATCATAAATTGATGACAGAAACACATCAGCCTCAGGACCGGATTCTAATATATCTGCAGTGGGAATTTAAATCTGATACAGTTCTGCTCCTGAAGCTCCCTGAACATCTTAACTCCCAGAACAGCAGTGAGAAGTTATGGAGGGTTATTATCACTGGATGATTTAAATGATACATATAATGCCTAATTGTCATTCCAGGAATGTGGACAAATTATAAATTATTTCCCTAAAACATTGATCACTTTAGTTCAAGATTGCTTCAGTAATATTGCAGTTCTTAAACTTAAAAATATATTTATTAAATAAAACAATATAATAGATGAAAAAATGCAAAAACATCTTTTTAAGAAAAGTGTCAACAAATATCTTATATCCTTATCAATTAAAAGATTTTCCTGTTAAAAGAATACTACAAAAATGATATTCGTGCATTTAGAACCAAATATCTTAAATTTGCTATTCCAACTAAATATAAAGAGCTTCATTAAAAACTTGAAATGACTTTTATCCTTCCAACCAATTCATATGCTCCAAATTGAAATTCGCTGTAAAAAAAATGTCGTCTATGTGAGCAAGAAGAGGAATGAACTAAACATCTTTTTTTATTGTAAAACCATTTTTTTTACCTCAGTTCTTTACTGCTTATTCTCTAAGTCCTTAAAAATAAATTTTCTCCCTCCTCCGCAATGAAATTTGATATCATTGCTCAAGATAAACAGTTTAAAGTTATCCTCATTGAAAAGTACAGTGCTTTTCCTTCAAAAATGAGGACATTTCAATGTGACCCCAAACTTTTGAACAGTAGTGTATGTATGTATACATATATTGTGTTTTTTAACAATTTTAACAATTGCTAATTTGAAGTATAAATAAATGACCTGTACTCATATAGCACCTTTTTTCAAGTCAGGAGACTTGACCAAAGCGCTTTACACTACATTCATTCACCCATTCATGCACACACTCACCACTGATGGTGGCAAGCTACATTGTAGCCACAGCTGCCCTGGGGCTCACTGACAGAAGCGGGGCTGCCGTACACTGGCGCCACTGACTACCATCAGTAGACAATGCAGGTGAAGTGTCTTGCCCAAGGACACGACGACACTGGAAGTCGGAGTCGAGGCCTGAACCGTCAATCCTTCAATTTCAGGGAAAACTCCTACTTTCGACGCCACTGTTGCCCCTCATGTTTAATGAAAACTAAGGGCGGGATCTATCAAAGGTTTGCGTGTATAAAAACGTGAGCTATTTCACTGCGCACGCTAAAAAATGTACAAACTGATCTATCAACAGCGTGCTAAAAGGATTTGGTCTTTAAAACGTGCTAAATAGCGCCTCTTATCCATTTAGTACTTTTTCTGCAATGAA